GGGCGTGTGCAGGGAGGGGAAGGCGGAAGGCGGACGGGGACATCGGTGCGCGCGGCGTACGCGCCTCCTCTCTCTCGAGGCTGGGCTGACGCGCCCTTTAGCCGCGTGCGCGGGCGAGATTCGTCTGTGGCCAAGCACGCGCGCCCGTCCGTCCCGCGCCGCGCATACCACATCGCCAAGACGGGCCAGGACGCGGGTAGACGCGCGGCGCCGCCGCCGCTGATGTGGGGCGTGGCTGGGAGGCGGCGAGGTGGGGATGGCGCGGGTTAGTTGATGGCCAGAAGGAGGGCGCGGGGACGACCCCGTGCGTCTGTGTACGCGCCAGGGACGCGGAGGCGGGATCCGGGCGCGCGGGGCGGTGGGGGTGAGGCGGACGACGGGGAGGGCGTGGATGGGGAGAGGAGACGGATGTGAGCGGAGCGGACGCTGCGCAGGCGGCGGAGGACGCAGCTGGTGTCGCGCGTGCCTGCGAGCACGAGCGTGTTGGTGCTGTACGCGGCGGACGCGGCGAGGTGGAGGCGCGGATCCTGTCGATGCGTCCGAGCCACCGGCGTACTCCCCCGGGGACACGGAGGCGGGGATCGTGGCACGCGGGGGCGGACGACGTGGCGAGTTCGGGGAGGACGTGGAGGGGGAGGAGGATGAGCAGGAGCGGACGCGGGCGGACGCTGCGGAGGCGGCGGAGGACGCAGCTGGTGTCGCGCGTGCCTGCGAGTGCGAGCGGGCGCAGGCGCGGGCGTATCGGCGTGCGTACGTGCCGCAGACGCGGCGGACGGGGATGGCGAGGTGGAGGCGCGGATTTCGTCGTGGGACGAGCATGGCGCGGGCTCGCCTGCCGTCGAGGGCGGTGCACGGCCCCGGGGTGGGAGGCGCACCGACGTGGTGGAGCGCGGGGCGCGTCGTGTTCGGAGGCGGGGGCGATGGTGTGGTGTGCGTGTCCGCATGGACGGGGTGCAGCCGCCGGGCTAGGTACTCGGGCGCGGAGGACGAGGAGCGCGGATGGGACGCAGCACCTGGACGGAGACGCGCGGACGTCCCCGGGCCGCGGGCGGTGCGGGTCGAGCAGAGCGCGCCGAGTCTGCGCGCGCGTTGCGGGCGGCGAAGGACGCGGGTGCGGGCGCTGGCGCTGCTCGTGCGCGGAGAACGGAGAGTGCGGATGACAATGCGCAGCGCGCGCGGATACCTGGGCGGAAAGCACGGACATCTGGACGGCGAGCGCGGACGTCCCCGGACCGCGGGCTGTGGGGGCGCTGGGCGTCGCGTGCGGCACGGACGCGGCGCCCGTGACGGCGAGGTGGAGGCGCGATCTTGGCGCGGGACGAGGGGGTGACGCGCCGCTGTGGTGGAGCGCGGGGCGCGTCCTGTTAGGCAGCGGGGGCGGGATCAATGTAGTGTGCGTGTGGGCGGCGCGGACGGGGCGCAGCCTCCGATCCGTGGTACTCGTGCGCGGAGGACGAGGGGCGCGGAGGACGGCGCGCAGCACGCGCGAGGGCGGAGAGTGCGAGCGGCCCCGAACTACATGTGGGCGTCGCGTACTAAGAGCGCGGCGCTGCGGGCGGCGGGGGGCGGGTGCGGGCGCCAGCCTCAAGACACGCACGATGATCTGGCCGTTGCACGATGCCGCTGCGCTCCGGTTGTGCGTGGATCCTGCGCCGCACTGGCGCTCTGTTCCGCTTCCTCTGCGCGTCTTTTTGCGGGGCGTGGGGCTGTGGCGCGGAGTCGGTTCCCCTTTTGCCCTTTGCCGGTCCTCTCTATTTCCATTCTTCAAATTATCTTTCTCGTTTCTTGTTTCACGTTTCTATTTGGGGCTTGCTGCGACGCGTTTCGCGTCCCGGGCACAGAGTGGGCGCGGCGCGAGGTCCCTTTTTCTTGGAGGCGGCGGATGCGCACTAAGCGGGCGCGCGCGCTAGATGGGTGAAACAGGGACGGTTGGGCGCGGTGGTAGGAGCATCTGCGCCTGTTTCTCCGTCGGGTGTTTGTCCCGGGGGACTTCGGTTCGCGTTTTATCAGCCGCGTCCGGCTCGCTCGTTGTGGACAGATCCGCGTCTGCGTGCTCAAGGGCGTGTGCTTGCGCGCGAAGACCGCAGCGCGGCTTTGTCTGCCCCGCACATGGGTACGCCATTCTCCACGGCCTTTTACTCTAGCGAGCGCGCAACATGTTGTGTCTCTCCCATCTTGCGGCTCGTCGTAGCGTTTCCATTCCAGAAGACGCGTTTACTTCATGATCACCCGGTTGGACCTACATGATAGGAAGGGTCTTCCCACCAGTAGCGGTACGCACATGCCCCCTCGCGTCGGCAGCTACGCGCTCTTCTGTCGCTGTCTGTGTTTTGTTTACATCCTTCTCTTCGTTTGCTACTTTGTTTTCAGATGGCTCAAATACATGACTTGACTTAGATTGTTCTCCTGCTCGTAAAGACGCGTCGTGTCACGCCGCGGGACTCCGTCGCGCTCCTGTGCGGAACCCGTTCGATTCAGGGGTGGATCCGTGCGCTCATCCATGAGGTATCTAACAGTCTGAGTATGCCTATTAATATTTCGGTTCATGTTTGACCACGATCACGGGTGCCGGAACTCGGCAACTTCCAAAGCGACTTCTCGCACGACATCATACCTCGCTCATCGCTGGCTGGCTCATCCGTTGCCTCATACCAGGCAAGATCTCACTGACCTGCGCGCCCCATCGCTCCAGATGCTCGCAGGTATAATAACCCCACAGACGTAAGTTCCATCTCCACTTTTCTCTCCTCAAAATGCAAGCCGTATCCAACAAACTAGCCGAAGTGAGTTGCGTCCTAGTTGAATAGACTTTCCGTATTCACCTTCGCAACCCAGCGTCTGGGCGATGCCCCCACCGTTGTTTCTGCAGACTACAAGCCGCGCGCGGACGGCACGACCATGAAAGCACTCGCATGGTTCGGCGCGCGCGACGTGCGGATGGTCGATGCGCCCATTCCAGATATCACCGAGCCCGACGACGTGATTCTCAAGGTTACGGGAACGACAATATGCGGGTCCGACCTGCACCTGTGAGCCGCGTGCGCATTCAGTCCGCGATCGGACTCTTACATTGATTCTAGATATCACGGCGAAATCGTCCAGCTTCAACAGGGCGATATCCTGGGACACGAGGTGCGTTACTCGTGATGTTGGAGTAGGCTGGATGATCTTATTATCACTCTAGTTCATGGGCATCGTGGACCGTGTCGGGCCTAAGGTAAAAAACATCCACGTCGGCGAGCGTGTCGTCGCCTCGTTCCAAATTGCCTGCGGCGACTGCTCGTACTGCAAGAAGAAACTGTCCTCCATGTGCGACCGCACCAACACTTCCGGGTACGTGCTTAGCCTACCCTGGGTTGGTAAGCTGGGATATTTACTCGGACGCAAGGCTGCAGAATGCGATGTACGGCCACCGCGACGCAGGGTTCTTCGGGTACTCGCACTTTACGGGTGGGTTTCCCGGGGGACAGGCGGAGTATGTGCGCGTGCCCAAGGGCAACGTCAATCTCCTCCCGATCCCGGACTCCGTGCCGGACGAGAAGGCGCTCTTCCTCTCGGACATCCTGCCGACGAGCTACCACGCCGTCGTGGACGTGGGCGTGAAGAAGGGCGATGTCGTCGGCATATGGGTGCGTATTTAAATACCCATACCATGCCACGCAAATAACTCGCTGCAGGGCCTGGGTCCTATCGGGCAGTGTGCCGCGCGGTTTGCGCTCATCAAGGGCGCGTCGCGCGTCATCGGAATCGACAACGTCCCCTCGCGGCTGCTGTTCGCGCAGGAGAAGTCCGGGATCGAGACGATCGACTTCAACCAGCACACGGACGTCGTGAAGCGCATCCAGGAGCTCGTCCCCGGCGGGCTCGACATCGCCATCGACTGCGGTGCGCCCTCCCATCCTCCCCTCCCCCACTCAATTGAAATTGACTGAAATCTGCGCGCAGGCACGTTCCACGAGCCCAAAACCATGCTACACAAGGTGGAGAAGGCGCTCATGCTCGAGACGGACGTGTCCGAGATCGTGAACGAGATGATCATGGCAACGAAGAAGATGGGCAGCTGCGGGATCATCGCCGCGTACGCGGGGTACACGAACCACTTCAACATCGGCGCGCTCATGGAGAAGGGCATTCGCCTCATCGGGCACGGGCAGGCGCCTGTACACAAGTACTGGCACGATCTGCGTGCAATGATCGAGACGGGGAAGATCGACCCGACGTTGTGCGTTGTCTACCTTCGTGTTCTGCAGAATTGAGTTGCTGACGCCGCGGGATGCATTGCAGTGTCGTGACCCACCGTGTCTCGCTCGACGAATTCCCCGAATTGTATGCGTCGTTCGATAAGCGGGTGGGTGGGGTTGAGAAGGTGTTTGTTGAGACGAAGTTCTCTGCGCCGCCGTCTGCTGGGGCGCCCACACTCACGCGGGTTGCCGACTGGGGTTTGTAGATATATATAGTGTAATATTGTCTGTGCGGAGAATTTAACAACTTATTGTACGCTAAAGCCTGTCGCGTCGACCAACCCAACGCACGTTTAGGGATAGATGGATACGGAGGCTCTGTCAATGCTAACCCAAGTGCCATACAGGAAGGCCTATAGAATATCGAGTGGCTGGTACGCTTCAAGTGCCATATAAGCGTCGGACCCTGGTCCGCTGTGATCCCATTCCTACGTTGATCTTTCGGTTTTAAATCCCGTAGACGGCACTCAATTCCATAATTTATAATTTCATAATTTCATCTATACAACTCCGTCCGATCTTCTCTGCATTTAATATTTTTAGGACTCGTAATTCAGTGCGTGGCTGAGCTGACTGATGCTTCTCACCAGATGTTCCCGACCGCATTATTAGTATGGTCTCCCTTATTAGTCAGACCATAATCCAATGGATTTTTTTTTTTGGGACAGAGTGGAAAAAATCTTAATTATGGGACGAGTGTAAGTTCAAGGGATTTCCCAGAACAGTTCCTAACCTAATCAGGATCAAGCTGCGGAATGGGACCCGGTAGGGGAGGATACCGTGCCCGCCCCTAATAGGGAAGTTAAGACATCCAGTTTATGAGCGCGGGAAACTTTGGTTAGACTCCAGGCTGGGTCATGCCCACGCCTTGTATTTTTCACTGCTTAGGCTGGCTGGTGTGTTTCGAAATTCCATTCAACTATACAATATGGGAGGTATGCGCATCAAGTTGTATATAGGAGACTAATTCAATCGGGATTCAACTTGTTCGGAATGAGATTTCGTAAGGGCTAGCAAGCTGGCTTTATGTCCATACTGAGGGACTCGCACTGGAAAGGGCTTGCTTTGCAACGAACGGCGAACGCTTTAAAACAAGAGGACCAAAGTAAAATCACTCGCGCTCGCCGGGATCCGTGGAGCTCTTATCCAGAGGGTACGCATTGACAAAGAGCACGGAGCTGGGAGTAGAACGCTGAGTCAAGCCACAGCCGCTGCTTTAAGTTCATCTTCCAGATCCAATACGGGGTAGAGATCGAATGGGATACTGACCTTGCCAAGTCGTGATACCAATGTTTATGCGAAGCCTTTCGAACATGCGGTTTTCACGTGTTGGGCTGGGGGGAACTGGGTATCTGGGGTTCCGTTTGCGGCTGAGGAGCAACGGGCTAAAAAAACGACATCGAGTATGAGTGGGGGTCCGTCGTGTGAAGGTCTGCGAACGCACCTGGGGCGTCGTACTAGTACTATCGCCCGGGGTATACGCCGGTGGTTGGGCCTAGCAGCGATGGAGCATCAACACGGTGCAGAATAGGACAAGGGAGGATCGAGCGTACCGGATGCCGTTTACCGTGCAGCGGGGTCACGCCGTGGAACCCTGGAAGCGGTGTCGTGTGGTAGATACGCGTCGGATGCGCGTGGGCGCGCGGGCGCGCGGCTCTTTTGCGGCGCCACAAGAAGATCAGGTAGCCGACGAGGAGAAACAGGAGGCCGCCGCCTGGATCGTTATGAGTACGACACGAGGGGTAAAACCCAGACACAGCACAACGGCGCACCAACGATGGAGCCCGCGACGATCCGCCGTATTAACTGGTGTCTGCTGTCGCGATGGGCCTGTGCGCTACGCGCGAGGTGAAACAAAAGAGTAACGAGGAGAAATGGATGGCAGAGAGCAGGGACAGAGGGCGGCATGAATGGCGGGTGTTGTGGTGGGAGCTCGTCAGCGTTGATCGATTGAATTTCAGCGCTGCCCAGGTTCTGATTATTGGTGCGCATCATTGGTGGATCAGACTCGCATCGTTGGGCGCTGATACCGGCAAGCGACTCGCGAACAGTTCGGGAAGGCATCATACTTAATATAAGTTAATAATGATGACCGTGCCCCGGGAGGCTCTTCAGTTTGTCCTCAGTAGAAAGCTTGGAAAAATGAACGAGGATGGGAAATCACAGGGTGAACAGAATGGAGGGACGGCACAGTACCGGATTCAAGGCCGCATCGACCAGATTCCATTCTGATCCATTGTCGGGACTCGGTTTGTTGGGTGGAGTAGGGCAGTTTGGTTCCAGTGCAACGAAACATGATTAGTCCTGGAAAATTATCTCCGAATTCAAGCCAGACATCGCTCTGCGGAGGAGGTATTAATAAATTGTACAACACGGGTTCATAATTCAACGAAAGCGCTGGGCCAGGGTTAAACATAATGCGCGGCTGGCGGCGGCGGATATTGTGCGGGCGGCGGCGCATAGTGCGACGGCTGTAGCAGCGACTGATCCATAGACCCGCCCTTGGGGGGGGCAAAGGGATTTTGACGCAACAATGACTTTGACGCATGCAGCGTCAATGTTAGCGTCAGTCTGCGTCAATCAAATTTGCATCACATGTTGAACTCACCTGAAATCCCCTCCGCGCCCTCTTCCCTGTGGTAGGGACCTAGCAGTAGCCTTGCTACATCCTTCCACGTCGTAATAATCATGAAAATCCCCCAGCTTGGTCTTCAAAAACTTGAAATAAAACTCGGTGCAGCGTCAGTCTGCGTCAGTCTGCGTCAATCAAACAGCGTCAAACAACTTGCAGCGTCAATCTTGTGACGCATGCAGCGTCAATATGTCACTTTGCAGCGTCAGTACCGGCGCTGCAGCGTCATTACCGGCGCTTGTCTGCGTCAGTCAGCGGCACTCATGCGCCGTGACACAGCGTCAATGTGACATGCCAGCGTCAGTATTGCCGCTGTCTGCGTCAATTATTTTTCCATCTGCGTCAATTTGGCGTCAATTTTCGTCTCGTCTGCGTCAATGTTGCGCGTCAGTCTGCGGCACTCCGAAATCAATTCCTAGCAAAACAAAACTCTCACAAAATTATCAAGCCACTGTTTACCCATCGTGCTGCCCGCTCCCGCACTAACCGCAATTATCTCTCAAACTTCACCGCCGTGTCGCATCTCCTCGTTCAACCAAGGTTGAACTCTCCATGTCCAAGCTTTAGGTAAACTTCTCAACTTAACAACAGTGTTCAGAGCTCAACCTGGTCGTTCCTACTGGACCAGATGCAAACATTCACGGAATGCGACCACGGATTGTATCGTCTTGGGGAGTAGTGACACAGCCACTCTGCAACATTCATTCTTGCCATCTCAACTAGCACCCAATAAATATCGAGATAAATAGCTCAAACAATGCAGGTACATATTTCGAACACCCTGGTCATGCTCAAACTCTTGTATTTTGTGACCTAACCGAGTTATTCAACAAGTACCGGTCGAGACGGAAACAGTGTTCGAGGCATGCCTGCGGAATTACGGCCGATATTGTGTCAATTACTCCCTGGGATGTTCCCAGTAGCCCACCCAATTCAAGTTAGTTGGAAGAAATCCTCAATAAAGCGGGTAAACGTGGTTATCTTGTGCCGTGCAAGGTGTCAACCAAATACGATAATTACTAGTGACAGAATTCAAAACCCTCCATTCTGACGGAACATTTGCCACCGACATAATTGAGCAAAGAGATTTTGATGCATGCAGCGTCAATGTATGCGTTAGTCAGCGTCAGTTTGATTTGCGTCAGGTGTTGAACTCACCTCAACTTTCGTAGCGCCCTCTGCCAGGGTGATAGGCACCTAAAATGACCGTCGTAACAACCACCAATATACGGTGCTCGGGCCGCTGGAAACCAAAATTCACCGTAACGTCAATCTGCGTCAATTTGCGTCAACCTGCGTCAACCTGCGTCGGTCTTGCGGCGCAAAATCGGCACTTTTCAGCGTCAATTACGAACATCAGTACCGGTACATGTCAGAATCATGTCTGCGTCAGTCAGCGGCAGCGAATGGGCGGCTATGACTAGGGTGCACTCGGATACTCGCAATTTACCGCTGGCCGACTGGGAATTCCTACCGGTAGGTTGGATTCGTCGCGGTCGAGCCCGAAATAGTGCCGTAAGATGCCGGAACTATCATTGACGGCTACTTGCCGGCCGTGCTTATTCTTCTACTGCCACGTCGTCACACAGGGTGCCTCCTCTTCAAACCTGCGAAGATTCTCATCATGGCAATGGGTCTTCGTTTCTCCCCTCGGTCCAAATCCGGCCCACTTCAATTAATTCCAAGTCATGGGCCTGAACCAGGAATTTATCTCAGGTCCGATTCAATCCACTGGCAGAGAATCTTATCCTCCGGTGCTAAGTACCAGTTGGTGTTGATCTCGAGCCCTTTGCTTTGAATGTGTAACCTTTCGATCCACTTGTGACACTGTGTTTGGCTAGCTTTGCCCCTCTCTTGCAATCTCCCGCCATGATCAACACCGTTTACGTGGCTCTCTTTCTTTGCACCAAGCGGAAGGCGGACGAGCAAGTGGAGGGCGAGAAGGTCGGGAAACGTGCGAAGAAGGCGCGGATAGCCGGAGAGAAGAAGCGAACCAATCCCACTCCACGACGCCTTCGGTCCGGGAAAGCGAGGTAGAGCACAGTGATAATCAACTTAATGAATAATTTGTTTGAGGACGAGGAATGCATGCAGCATAAGGGACTTGTATAATTCAACCAAGGGAATGGCAGCGTCAAACATGGAAATATTGCCGCCATGTTCGACGAGGACAGCATGGATGTATTCGGGCACGTTGGCCGACACAGCAGGGAGAGAAGAAAAATGGTCTAAAAATTAGCGGCGTCAGCGATGTCAAACACGGAAATATTGCCGCTATGTCTGCGTCAATTAAGGTGTGACGCAGCGTCAGTGTGACCCAATTGACGCAGTGCAGCCGCTGCAGCGGCAGTACTGACGCTGTCTGCGTCAATTTCAAATTTTGCTGCGTCAATCTGCGTCAGTTGCAATGTCACAGCGTCACTTTCCCCCTGCCCCCTTGGGGGGATGTACACGGCTGTTGGGGGCTATCGAAATATGAGGACGCGAGGAAAGGACGGAGGCGAAGGAAAGCGTACCTGCCCATAATTTCCGGATTGTGGTGGTGGAGTGTACGCGCCCGGAGCGTAGCTTGAGGCTGTGAAACGGCACCATACATTTAACTGCGTTTCAACCCGAGAGCGCGGAGAGTGGCTTACGGGGAATCGCGCCTTCGAAAGTGACGGGCTGGACGGCTGCTAGCTCGATCCAGACGCGCGCGCGCGCGCGTCTCTTGCGTCATTGATAGAGCAGGTAGGCGAGGACGATCAGGAGAAAAATGACTGGGGGAAATCAATCCTGTCGATGAAGATCAGAGGGCAAACGGACGTACCTACTACCACGATTACGATGATGGTCCGAATCAGCCGGTCTCTGCGGTCTTGGTCGGTCTCCACCCGGAAGAAGGCATGTGTGCCAGACACATGGAGCGAGAGCGCAAGACAAAGAAGTGGATGGGAGAAAGAAATAGCAGAGCGGGCCATGGAGGGTATCAATCACTTAAACGGTAGCTTATAAGTGGCGGGCCTGAAGCGGCGATGCGTGGGTGGGCTACAAGTTGGCTGTGTTCAGATTTTGGCTGTACCGGGTGGCACGGTGGCACCGGGTTGATGGGGCTGTGTTGGGTGCTACCAGTGACCGTACTCCGAATTCTCTAGTTTAAAAACGGGAACCCTATCATATCCCGCCCCGTCATGATTTGAACGTCATACATTTCATGCAGGTAGCAGATTGAGGAGGGCGATTAGCC